ATCGCACTAGTATTCTGTGTGTGATTCACTTAAAATTGTGGCGTGAGTTACCGTAATCGTTGGTCTTCTTTCTTCTGAAGATTCTCTGTTCCTTTTGCCAAAGTGCACTAAGGCTGATTCAATTACTTTAGAACCACACTCTGATGGAACTAATTATTTTTATTATCTCTTCTCCTTCTGTTAGTCAACTTTTTCTTGCCCTGTAACTCTACTCTTTTTTGCTATTATCTGTCTGCTAGTTTCGCTCGTCACACACTATTTACATGTCTATCACTTAATCGTCTGCCCGCCTTCTATATTCTCGACGTCATTGTATTGCACGCTACGTTCGATAGTCTCAACATCAATTAGTTATTAACAAAACTTCCTACAGTTGTCTGCTTTTAACTCTTATTTTAACAAAACTAAACAATAATATAATATTCATTCACAGAAATAAATTAATCAACACTATCTAAACTAAACAGTCTTTTATGTCATGACAGAATACTTTTACGACCTCGCTGATGTTATTAACTGGGATATGTATATAATATTGTCCAGTTACTCTTCTTAGAGCTTTATTAGTAATAATACTATGTCACTGCAATAGCTTGAACCCTAAAGATTATTTTGTTTTGTATTTTTTTTTGCTTGATGAGTGAACGTTTTAACATTAATAATGTTCACTGTTGCAACAGTAATTATGATTTTGATAATTTGATTTGCATAAAATAGTGTAATTTAATACAACTACTTGGCTACACTGCTGTTGAAACACGTTATCATGTATGAAGTGAGAATTTGCTTTTACTACTTGGACGTCTTTTTTGCATAGTTGTTCAGTAGTTAATGTGTAAGCTATGTGCATAGAGCGAAAAGAAAAATCAACCAGACAATCAATATAGTTAATTAAATATAATTTTCTTACGTTTCTGTCTCCTGATGGAAAATCGGTACGTTTACCGAACAGTAAAATCCGGTGTTCGATTCTCCGCGGTGGTCACAGCATATAGCCCAATGTGGCTTTGCTCTAAAACAAACAAGTTTACGTTTCTATTTATAAAGATTAGAATGCATTCTTTCACCAATTGGGTACCCTCGCTGTTAACGATATTTTCGGCCGTAATCCCAATAATATCTCACAAGGTTTGATCAGCATAAGAGATTCAACTTAATCCTAAATACATATATCAAGCTAACAATGCAAAACAACGTTCATAATAAAAGTATAATAATAAACAATAAATAAAAAGAAAAAGTAATGCCATTCGATATAATAAATAGTATAACCAATACTTTTAATGAAAGCAACAATAAATAAATAATAATGTGTATCTTTCTTAGGGAACACCAGCTGTCGACTTGAGCTACTGTCGTAGAAAACATTTATTTGGATAATGTACACTTAGTATAAAATGCCTGATTTTCACAGGTTATATCTAGTGATACGGTTATGATTTATATTAAATGTTAACAAATTAAAGTACTAGTAGTGGCGCAATACTTTGAAGATGACTGTGAGCAAGAAATATGAATTAATATGATTACTAATTATTACCAACAAATTCTATTTCTCCTATCTTTTTCAGCACTGGCCTATAAAGTCAGACCGTTATGCTTAGTAGTTCAGTAACCAAGCTTTTAATGCTCGTATTATCTTATAATATCCATTCTCCAAACATCTTGTGATATTTTCAGAAGAAAACGGGAAAAAATTGATTCAATAGCTTCTTAAGTTCGCGGTATATTTTTTATTGATTTTATATTGATCTTCAATAAAGCAGGCTATCAACTTTCAATCATTTTGCTATATTTTGTTGGATTTAGGCTTGTAAGTAATATATATATACACACACACACACAAAAAAGGCCAAAAATACGTTTTAGACGATAGTTTTTGGGAAAGTTGTTTGTTTTTTAATTTAACTGTAAAAAAAAAAAAATCAGTGCGTGTAGCAGGAGACGCTGAAGAGCTATTCACCTCTGAATACCATATTTGTCAAAGCCTTGAATGCCAATGTTTACCCATGAAAGCTCGGAGATTCACCTGCTGCTTGCCGAGCTCGTGCCTTGTAATCTTGCACGAGCTCTTTCGCCGTCGGGTTAGTACGTTGCACTATGAAGTCCTTGCCCCGGTGAAAGAACTAGTTGGTTCTTTCAATAGATCGACCTGGGAGAAAGGGAAACCGGGCTTTAATGAAGCATTATCTTTGCACAGAACAAACCGAGAGAGGAAACTCGTCATCGGCGTTTTAACCCGTGTTTATAGGTGTTATTGTTATGTACAGCTCACTGACAGTATGCGATATTGAAGTAGTTGTGTAAGGGGAGACGAAAAAAAGAAATCGCTTTCCGTTCGTTCTTGCCCATCAAATTGTTACATTCGGCACATTGACATAGGTGGCACTGGTGGTAGTAATAAGTAATAAGCATCCCACATTATTTGCCATGTTTTTGCACGTGTAACGCATGCTGTCACGTGATGATGAGTTGACTCGGTAAGGTAATGGCGAAATGACCTACGTTCATGGCTTCCCACGCCTTTTTTATATGTATATCCTGAATAGGCTAAACACTGAAGTGTCAATTACATTAAACTCAGTTTTATTTTGGTAGTTTATCTTAAATTGTAAATCGGGAAATAGACAGATAGTTTATCTTAGATTGGTTAAGGGGCCTTTGTTTTATTAGGTTTTGTATTAATATAAATCAGGAAATAGATAGTTTTCCTTTAAATCTTGTACATATTGTTTAGTTTCTTACAAACGGTATGTTTATGTATTGTATCACACCTGTTACACCAAATGTAAAGGCAACATTTTGTAAAGATCAGAATAAAATGAAACCATGTTTTTTTTCTAATTTGTGTCCTTTCAGCACTTACTATAGATGCATTAAAATTAAGCAAAAATAAAAAGTTATTAAAAATTCTGTTTTAGATAAGGTGTTGAGTGTGTTTTAATTCAATGAAATTTAAGCAACAACGAAAAAGCCTATGTGTATCAATAAAAGTTGGTGGAAATTGTAAAGTTACGACAGAAAACCCGTACATTTAAAATTTACATTAATTTCACAATGTCTTTACACTATACTGATATGATAATTTTTAAAAACATAACATATTAAGATTTTTACACATAAAATGTCAACCAAGCAAAATAAAACCTGCTGTCTTTTTGTTGTAACTTTAGACAGCGCGAAGACCTTGTTGTCAGAACCTCCTCTTTGTGGTTATTTACTTTAATCTCGTAACTATCACAGAAGCTTGGGGTTTATGGTTTTCAGCTGTGATTGTGTTATAAAAGTGACAGTCAATCCTGCTATTCATCTGAGGGTAGCCGTGTTGGTGGCGGGTGCTATTGGCTGGTTACCCTCCATCTTGTCAACAGTTTTAAATTAAGAATGGTATGCCTTAACCTTGGGGACCTCTGACCTAGTAGTTCCGCCCACGTGTCACACAGGGTGCTGTTCAGGCTAAAAATACTAAATACCATCAGTACAAGGTCATGCTTATTGTTTAACGTTAAATGTGTTTGGTATGAACTCAGTTGTGTTAGAATTTTATCGTTGTTACTACCCAGCGTATCATTTCAACAAACGGGGAAGACATTGGAGAGGCTAGATCTGAACGTTAATTCTCTTTTGCCACTCCCTGGTGTCCTTCGAAGTTTAGTAGAAATCGTTAGAATAGCACGGGATATAGGGGGACATAGGTGGTCATATCTAAACTCTGACCCCTCTTTTCACACTTCGCGAGGAGGAATTCGAGTAAACACTAAGTTTGGTTGAAATCAGTCAAAAAAGTTTCGTTGCGCTTTCTTGGAACCTGAACTAATGTTACTTTACACACTGTTATTTTACAATATATATATATATATATGTTTAGTTAAGCTCAACGAATGTGTTTTTATAAAACGTTACCGCACGCTAGGTTTAATAATGCTCCGTTTTACAGCAACAATGATCGTAATTATAAGTTTGAACAAACCAGTAATATTGGTTTGCTCTAACACCTATAAAACAAGCTATGCTGAATTTCCTGAGTGCCGATGACGTCTAGAATGGGGGGGGGGGGGAGAGAAAGAAGTTGCGCTCATTGGTTTAGAAATTGGCGGTACATCTGGTAGAATTCCAGAGTTCACTGACCCCCCCCCTCTCCTGTTTTCCTGTGTTTATTTATTTTATAACCTCTGTTCGTGGGTGGTTTGGTTTGTTTGAGAAGACGTGGTAGACAT